GTAAATTAGTATAATGTCGGTTACAACCCGAATAGAAACAACTTTGTTGACCCCGGAATTTGGGCGGCCTCCTCTTTATCCAAAAACGGATTTGGTGTGATATCGGACCGCGTCAACTTTAAGATAATGTTTATCTTAAACTTAGCTGGATTACCATATTTAATTGACCGATGCTTCAAAAATCAATTTTACACATTGCAGGTAAATTCTCACCGGCAACAAATTTTTATATATTTTTATTTTTTTTTAAATAATATACCAGTCATGATTTTATAAAATATTATTAGTATCAACAACGTCATTTTATATTTAATTTAAAGTTCAAAAATAATAATAATAATCCCCAGTCCTGACGAAGGAAGGAGGCTTATAAAAATTATTTTTAAAAAAATTATCTAATATGTATATTTAAGATATAAATTAATAATGTAATTAATGTTTTTTTATATTAATTAATATAAAAAATGATAAAAATTGACATTAATTTTATCATTAATGTTATATATATTATTTTAATTAAATAAATAAATAATTATTAAATTTTATTTTTTAATAATAATTAATATTGAAAAATATTCTTAACCTATGTTTAAGGGGAATAACCCTTTTAAAAATACGGATTAAATTAATTTACTGAAACTTAAATCCATTTGTTACATTTGTTTTGTTGATGGTGTCTTACGTGGCATGTGTTATTATTTTTAAACACTAATAAGAAAAATAATGGAAAATGATTTTAGAACAATATTTTTATATCATTTTTTATATAACATAATGTGTCATTTAAATGATTAATTTTTTTAATTTATGTGAAATTTATAATATTAAATATATCTATTTATTTAATAATATATGAAAATTATATCAAAAAATAATATAAAAATATTATTCTATAACACCGTCAGGAAATAATCAAGTGATAATACTTTTACAGGAAACTGTTTTATAAAGTCCATCTGATAGAAGAGTGTAAAATTAGGACTATTAAAGCTTTTGATGTTAGATTCTCTTTTTTTCATTTTTTTTATAATTTTGATCTTACATTATGTCATAAGATAGATAGTAAGACAAACATCCATATTTTAACTATAAATAATATCAATTTATTTAATTAAAATTTTATTTAAAATTTAAAAATCTATGTTAATATCTATATTTAAAGATTGATATGTATTATCTAATAAGGTAGATTTTTTATTTTTTATATTCAAAATACAATCAAATTTTAAATGCAAGCATCAAGATTTAATTTAATAAGATAGATTTTTAACTTTTAAATTAAATTTTAATTAAATAAAATTATTTTATTTAATATTGAGATTCTAATTTTTTTAGAATAGAGATTAATATATACTATTTTTTTAAGATATTAGTGCATATTAGTCTCATCTTGCAAAAAAAAATTAAAGTCTTAACCTAATTTCAAAACTAAAATCTCAATTTAAAATTTAAAAATTTACCATATTAAATGTTGATACTTAAATTTACAAATCAATTATATACTCTAATATAATTAGTTTTCAAATCTAAATCTCAATATTTAATAGGATAGATTTTTAAATTTTAAATTAAGTTTTAATTAAATAAAATGATGTATTTTAAGGTTGTTATTTCAATTTATTTTTAAAGTCGAGACTAATATGTATTTTTTAATATTATTTTATATATTATTTAATAATTAAGTTTTTAATCTATTAAGAACTAAAATGTTATATATATTTATTCATTGACCCCGTTTGGTATAGCAGTTTTAGGGTAGCGGTTAACGATTTTACCTAAATCGCTAAATATATGTATTTGGTAAATTTATATATTTCAAAACCGCTACAACTAAAGTGTTTGGTAAAATTTTTATTTAGCGGTTTGAAACTAACTGATAGCGGTTAGGGTCTAAATCGCTAACGGATTAAAAAAGTTAGTTTATGTAACTTTTTGTACCAAACCGTTAACGAATTAAAATTTTTTAATTTTATTGACAAATTGATCCATTTTAATTTTTTAGTTTGTGGTCACATTTTTTAATTAATAATTATCTAATAAATTTCAATTTTGTTTTTTTACCTTTAATAATATTAAATGATTATAATATTTTTTTTACATTAATTTATAATTAAAAAATATATTATCTTAAAAAACAAAATTTGTTAATTAGACAAAATGATTAATTTTTTTATTTAAAAATAATATAATTTTTTCTTTTTTAA